ACTAAAATTAAAAACAAATAATACACATTAACATTAAGAAAAAATAAATTCTCCTGATACAACATCTGGGGCCAGCTGGAATTTTTTCAGGCAATAATCACCAGCTTCAGAATTAGATTTATCTTTTTTCAAGTAAGAGATAGTCATTCAATCTTTTTTTTTACTTTTTCTACTTTACCATTGTATACTTAGATTGTTCAATACTATACCATTCATGATATAGTTTTCTAACAATTCTGTCAGACATAACATCATCTAAATCATCCAGTTGCTTTGTAGACAATTGTTTATACAAATTCTTAATCTGGCTGAAAGTCATTAACTTAAGTTTTTGTTATAATTTCCTTTTTTCTTGTTCCAACATTTGATGCTTGCATTTCTGTCTCTTATATAATACAGATCGAGTTTGAGCATGTTGTCGGCAATTTCTCTTTCTTTCTTTACGTGCTGTGAAAATGGACCATTAATTACATTTTCTCTACTTAGTAATCTAAACTATCAAGATAATAAATAGTCCTACTCTTTTTTCATCTTATTTTGCAAGAATTATATAAAATGATTGCATTAAGGGATCATTCTTTAGATTCACTAAACATACCAATTAATTCTTCACTATCTATATTGTGAAACCTTGCACTAGCTGTTTCCTGCTTTAGTGTCTCTGTAATGGAAATGGAGAAGTGTCTTTTACATTGTCTAATCAATACATCCTTTACTGCATTAAGACAAGCTAAATTCATGTTGATAACCTGGTTTTTAATGCAGCATTAATTTATTATTGGTTCAAAAACGTTTGAGAGAAGCCATTCCCCAAAAAAATCTGTTGCTCTGCAAAACAGTGCAGCCGGATTAGATTTGCAAACATTAACTGTTTCTAAAATGTTATTTACAATCTGAATACCGGTAAGATGATCAAAATTTGCATCATCAGCTGATACATAAAACTTTGTCATCCACAGTTTCCCAAATACACCAAGCACACATATTTTTTTTTATATCGGTAGCATTAAAAAATGCTGACACATTTTACTGTTCCAGTGATCAGAAAATTTAGAAAATCAGCACAGTGTTATTTTCTTTTTAATACTTGTCAGTAATAAATATAAGACAAGTATTAAAAGGAAAATATAAAGACGGTTTCCTCGATATCTAGGGATGATACACCTAGGTAGTTTTTTGAGGTCTAAGAAAGTAACAAATCCCTCTAGATCAATTTCACCATCTTTAAACCTCATCTTATTCATAGCCAAAATAATTTTGACGGCTACATAATCATTGCCAAAAAATTCAACTTTTCTGTCTCTAGACACTTCAATGCTGAGCGACATTCAGTAGCAATTGTATCAAGAGGGTGCAAATGAAATTCAATTAATTCTGAGTTTTACCCAAAATTGCACTAACATTGCTTATGGTCAGATGGTTTACTGCAACTATGTTTGATATTGTAAACAATATTTAATTGACGACACTAATCATAATTACGAAAAAAAAATCTGAATAAATGAAAGCTAGATGATCTACTGCTTTTCGTAACCATCAGCTGTTCCTCCTGGGCATTGATCCAGAGCAATGACAATGCATTTATCTTTGGACGTAAGGTGAACACTATTTATATGAACACCTTCTTGTGTTGTTGCATTAAATCTAAGAGTAAGCTGAGACTTATTGACAGCCCATTCTGCTTCTTGTAATTCTGATATATATTGTTAATTAACAATTAATGTAACAAATATCTGCCCTTTATCTAAAAGAATATTTAAACTATAATATAGTGTATTTATATTATACACATAAATTATGATTGAATAATAAAAATAAAACAATGAAATTAATAAAATAACGACAACAATAATAATGACTGTATTATTATTACTGTTATTGTTATATACATAGTATGTAGATTCCGAATCTCTCCCCCAACCACAACAACACCCATCGCGAATTTTTGAAAACAAAATTTTGGTACCAAAACTGCTACACAAAAGTTGTAATAGCCCCCCCCCCCACGTGACCCCTACTCGCGCCGGCCCTATATACACACACATAATTATACTCACCTAGTACATTTATGTAAGTGTATGTATGTATATATATATATATATATATATATATATATATATATATATATATATATATATATATATATATATATATATATATATATATATATATATATATATATGTATATATATATATATATATATATATATATATATATATACATATATATATATATATATATATATATATATATATATATATATATATATATATATATATATATATATATATATAAAACATTTATTTTTGTTATACCTTATATACTATATATGGTATAATAAAAATAAATATTTTCATTGATTTCTGAATAAGACAAGTTTAGTCAACTGCTTCCTAAACTTTTTTCGAGTCAATTTGTTAGTTACTTCTTTGCGTAGGTGATGAAAGTTTATTTTTGAGTAACTTTTTGAAATAACTTTAATCAGTGAAAATAAATGCTTATCAGTTAAAGCCGAATCAAGCATATGATGAGTTAGTTCTGTGAATACTTTTAATAAATCAACTGATCTCAAAATAGCACTTGCAATTGCATTTTTAATTCTTATATTATTAGGCAGGTTACTATTTGTTGATGCAAGAAACCTTTGGAAACATCTTTCTGTTCCTTCGTATATCAAAACAACACTTTTGCTTGGTTTAAACCAAATCTCGTCTAGAGAATTTATTCTTAATAAAATGTAATAAATTTCACCCACCTTTAAAATGAAAACTTTTCTTTTGAATTGTGATCACTGTTTTTTGATCCAGTACTATTTTTGCATCCAAAGATGCTACGTAATAATAATAATATAAACACTTGAATAAATAATAGTTACATCTTAACATTCTATAACAAATGTAAAGATGTAACATATGATGTTACATGCATACATATCATGTAAAAGTATATTTTTAAATAATGTATTTTTATTAGATTATTTAGTCAACATTACAATAAAAAATTACTTTAACATAGTTTGAAGGATAATTATTGACAAAAATTAATTAAATCAATTATTGACCTCAAAGTTTGAAGGATAATTATTGACAGTTTAACACATACATAGTCTATGTGTGTGTTAAACTGTCAATAATTATCCTTCAAACCTTGAGGAATAACTATTCACAGTTGAGTTTGACAATGACTTTAATCTAAGTCATTGAGAGATTATTGTTTACTTTGGAATATAACTATTGTTTTATATTTTCACTAATTAATGAGTCCAGAAAGTTAATTTATTAAATAATAAAATGACTTTTATATTCTTAGAAGGAACCTCTGAGTTGTGTGTACTCACAGCACTCGGCTAATAGTTCATACAGCATTTGTACAATAATGTTTCTACCTACAAAACTCATGATTGTAAAAGATTGTAATGATTATATGATTAAAAAGATTACAATCATGATTATATGATTTTTAATCATATCATACGCATATAAATACACATATTATTATACAAACAAAATCTGAATGAACAAAAAAAATTATAATAACCTATAAAAATATATTACAAAATTAAAAAATATACTTTCATAGTAAGTATTACTGATACTCTATGCAACTAAGGCATAGAACAAAATCATAAAAATAAGGTCGATGAATTTAAACAAATCCGATTGTTGTTATTGGCAAACCGAACAACTTTTTAATTATTGGTATATTTAATTTACACATATTCTACATATGTATATTCAAAGGTACACCACTTTATATGTATATGAATTGTGATATATATAATAGTGATTTGTATAACAAAGAGTTCGTAAAAAATGGCGACAGAAAAGGCGTCTGTTGGCTTTGCAGGTTGTGCTATGGATATCATATTGCTTCAGTCTAAAAAAATTATTTCATGTTAAAAACTTATTTCTTTTCAAAAAGGTAACTTTATAATAATTTACTGCTTATTATATACAGTGTGTTTTTAATAAATATAAATAATAATAACAATAAAAATAACTTATTATATTCAATTGCAAAAAAAAATATTAAAAAAAAATAACGCTATAAACTTAAATTGTATTCAAGCATTTTTTCCGACAGAGCTTGTTTATCATAGTCAAACAAAATAAACTAATATTTACTGTTTTCCAACATTGTTAAGAAACATTGTTATAAGACAATAACAAATACTTTACAAGGTATTCGTAAATTATTTTGTTTGTTTAACAATATTTTTTAAGGTTCCGATAATAAGATCTTAGTGATATGCTTTCGGAAACCTAATAAACAAAACCTAAACCTATGTATGTATATATATATATATATATATATACATATATATATATATATATATATATATATATATATATATATATATATATATATATATATATATATATATATATATATATATATATATATATATATATATATATATATATATATATATATATATATATATATATATATATATATATATATATATATATATATATATATATATATATATATATATATATATATATATATATATATATATATATATATACTATATTTATCATGGCATTTCCTTCTTATTCGCATAGCAATCTTAAATAGGTTACTATAAGTTATCGTAATCAATTGGTTTATTAATAATTTGTTGTATTTGCAATTACTTGCAATTAAAACCTTAAATACAAAATTCGAAATCAAAACAGCGTTTCGTCGGAACAATATATGCGTGTGGCAAAAAACAACCTTTACAAAATTTTATTTCTTCCATAAACTAATGCGAAAACTAAACATGCACTAAATTTACAAGTTAATAAGTTAATAAGTTAATAAGTTTTTTCTTGCCTGCGTTTCTTAGAAAAACTTTATTTTAATAAATTTTTTTTTATGAGTGACAGTAGATTTCAGCTATTGATTATATTTGTCAACAAATAAATGTTTTAAAAGCAAACAACTTTTGTGATTTAAAAAAAATTTTACTTGTTACCATTCCTCTTTAATATATAAGCTGCCTGCGAAAAAAAATTGTCTTTCTTTTGGTGAATGTAGAGAGTAGTACTAAAGAACTCAAGTAAGTTTGTTTTTATATATTAAAATCAAAGTATTTCAAAATACTTTGATTTTAAAGTAAAATATGTTAACAACTTTATTTTAAAAGTTTAACATTGTTAAAAAAAAATTATGATATCTATTTCATTAATTATATTTATATTATAGTTATGATTTTAAATTTTAGTTAGAATTAGAAATTTTTTATATTTTTATAGTAATGATTAAAAATTATTGTTATAAATTCCTAAAGTGTTGTAATTATAACTTCCGGAAAATTTATAAATATACGTTCATTTTACGGATATATATTTTTTTTAAATTACGTTTTAAACGTTTTTTAATTGTCTTTTAAACGTTCTCTGGTAAAGAACGTTTAGAAAACGTTAAAAATACATTTAAAATACATTTATAACGGAAATTTTAATAACAAATGCCCGTAAGGTAAGTCAATACTTTCAAAAGTAATAGGTTGGTTGAATAAATAAAAACAATACACCAGTTCAAGGGAAGTTCTGCCATTATTAATACCGCGCAAAAAAAAGTCCTGGAACGAATTTAGAAGGGTAAATATTTATTTTCTCAGTTGCGAATTAGTGATACAATATATAGTGATAAGATGAAAGTTAATTGTGCTGTTATAGAATGTACCAATAGTTCTTATAAGCTAGAAAAACTGAAAAATAAAACGTGTTTTCAACACGAAGGGAAGATATTATCCGAGTGTGGATGTGAGTTACCATTCCGAATGTTTTGTTTCCCAAGTTTAAAGAGAAATAGCGAAAAAAGAAAACACTGGATTAGTCAGCTTAGACGAGAAGGAAAGAAGAAAGGAAGTGCATGGGAACCTGGAACTGCTGATAGAGTATGCTCTGATCATTTTGTTGATAAAATACCAACTGTTATGAACCCTAATCCAACAATAAATATGGGTTTTGATCAACCTGTACAAAAAAAAGCTAGAAGAACATTATTAAAGCACCCAATCACTTCTTTACATTGTTCTAATAAAATGCAGCCTGTAGAACCTTTGTTGACTGAAAAAAGTAATGTCACCAAGTTTCCAAGTGTTAGTTTTAATGCAGATGTTTTGTCACCTATATTATCAGACCATACCTATTCAATGAGTTTACCACTACCTAATAAATGTACTTCATGTGAATACAAATCTTCACTTATCACCTCTTACGTGAGTAAAGTAAATAGCCTTACTAATCAATTAAAAAAATTAAAAATAAAACAAACAGTCAAGTCTAAACAAAAATTCTCTTGGAGATTAGTTAACAATGATAATAAAATGAACTTTTATACTGGTATATCTTCCATAGCTATTTTTAACGTTATTTTTGGTTTATTAAAACCATTTTTACCCTCAATTCGTTATTGGAGAGGCCCAAAACATTCACATAGCAAAGTTAAGTTTATTTTATTAAAATCAAAACATTATTTTCCACAAAGATTAAAGAGATTTTTTTAATTTTTGGTGTTAATAAATGGGAGGGGGAGTGGTCTTAATAAACATTTGTGGGTGGGAAAACTTTTGGAAAATTACTAAACTTCCTCCCCTTCTTGTATTAAACACACGATAGTACTGAGGTTGTATTTTTTTATTTAATTACTGAGGTTGTTTTTTTAATTTTTAATTACTTGTAAGGGATGCCGGACACCACCGTGCACTTTTAATGAATACATGTGTTTCATTTTATTACTTCTTTTTACTATAATAAAAGGCGTGGATAAACTTTTTGATTTTGAGTATATTCTTTACCTAAATATTGTTACACCATTATTTGGATCTTATTGTCTTCTTTTATAGGAAAAAAAAATCTATAAATGCCAATTTAAATATAAGAAAGGTTTTATAATTTAAAACACAGATTTTCATTTTCATAATTTAATTCCAATCAGTTAATAGTAAAATCTACAAAGACAGTATTTAAGTAATGATCGTTGTAATACTTAAAGAAATCAACTTTCATACTCAACCAACCAGCTTCATCAAATGCAATTTTATCAATTATATAACCATGAGCTGTCCATACCATAAAATAACAATTAATCATCTTAGCAGTCCCCATTTGAACCTGACATTGAGTATAGTATCTATGCTTTTTGTTAATGACAAATTTTTCATTTAACTTTTTTGTAATATAAGGAAGAGATATATTAGGATCTTGTGGTGATGTATGGTTTATAGAAAATGGACATTTTATTTCTAAACAAGCCGGCGGGCAACACGAACATCGAACAATTCTATCAGGGCTTCCACCTATATAGGGCATTTCTACATCTAAAAATAATCCACATTCATTTACAGTTAAATTTTGATGAAAGGATTTCATAACTTCAAAAAACTGGTTTGCTGCTTCAACTTCCATCGCTCTCCCGTACTTCAATGCAGGTATATCTGGGTTCACAAAAGTTAACCCTGAAATACTTTGGTGTAATGACCACATGTCAACTTTAATGCCCATGTTAATCTTTTTAATTTTTTTTAGAACATCGTGAGCTTTTGAAGCAGTTATAACTCGCTTTCGAAAATTAAACCAAAGCTTATTTGTGTTTTGACCCATAGTCAGACGCTCTATATTTGTAATTATTTTTTGAGTCATATTTGTTTTTATATTTTCACAAAAAGAAAATTTATTGTCTGACATAACAATAATATCATCCATGGTCAAAATTGTAGGTTTGGTAACATTTTCAAACACGATTAATTCTTCCATATAATAAATTTCAGGTTTAGGTACAGCAGAAGTTATAATGCTATGAGGAGCAACAGTTTCGATTGCTTTTGCTATGTCTGTTAAATTTAAAAGCTTTATATCACAGTTTACTAATGGGCTGTAATTACGCTTTTCATTTGATACTAGTGAACGCTTTTTTCTTCCACGCTGACCAAATTCATCACGATCAAATTTTAAGTCACATATTTTTGTTGGTGCTACTATGCTACGATTTGGAAGCCACTCTGATTTTGAACTAGTACAAGCTACATTTGTCAAACCATTTCTAACAGCAGCCTCTATTCGAAAGAGGCTTGCAGCAACATGATTACATGTCTGCGATAGACCAGCTAGACAAGTGCAATGTGCTGAAATTATTTTAGCAGTTTTTTTATTAATAATAATTCATAGCTTGTGAAAGGGATCATTAATTTTTTCAGATTTCCTACAGTTCCCTTTTAAATAGCAATATTCACTCTCTTTTCCTATTTGATGGTAAAATAAAGGTTCAAGCCAGCCACATTTAAAATAACTATAAGCTTTACACGTTTTGTAGTCACTTAAGTCTTTACTTGCAATTTCAGCAGGGTTAAATAACAAATAATTGTAAATATCAGGATATAACAATGTTGGCCAACAAGTTAGACCTTCATCTTCTGATAACCAACCATTACTAAGCTTAAAAGGATCAGGTAGTTCAACGCCGTTTATAAAAAGTTTTTTTTTGTACTCAGTAAGTATATCTGGCTCCACCTCTTCAGCTGTTTTAATAGGCGTAACATTGTTTTCCATTGCACAATAGACTCGAGCTGCAAGAATTTCTTTCTTTCCAGATATTTTCAAGCCACGAAGACGTAAATAAGACTTCAGTTCTTCAACCTTCATACTACACACTGTATCACAATCCATTTTGATTTATATATGTTATATATTTGTTTTAATAGTGATAGGATTTGTTTTAGTTGTTTGTTTATACTTCGTTTACTCAAGAATTAAATTTTACGACTTGATTTGTTTCCCTTATAAACTCGATCCAGTCTTTTCTTTTAATTCTCCGTAACGCGGCTCAAACTGGTGTATTTTTTATTCAGTAATTAGCCAGTTTTACGTGAAGTCAGTAAATTTGCAATTTGGTTATTGTAATTTAATAATTGCAACTTCTACAATTTTGCTCAAATTTTTTTTCACATAAAGTTGAACCCTAACTACTCAGCGTCTTTGAAGTAAATTGCTTAACTTTACGTAAATATAATTTGAGCAAAATTGCTCAACTTTTTGTTTACTTAAACCTGAACAATTACTCCGAAAACGCTGAGTAAAAACAATTGCTTTTTTTTATTCACCCGGCATATGAATTGAATGCATCCAAAACAGAACGTCCAAATATTTTGAAAAACTCTGTAAGAAGTAAGTATTACACTCATCATACAATTTATATCAAAAGATGCAAATCATAAAAAGAACTATTTTTATCATTTACAGTTTTATTATAAGCATTATATAAGCTGTTATACTAGTTGCGCTTTTTCATAATTTATTTTTTATTAAAATGATGTAAAAAAAAGATGTAAATTCACATCCGAGAAAACTGAAAGCAACTACTATTTAACTAGGTTGTTGCTAAGAAGTAAAGAAAAAAACATAAATAGTATAACATAAGTTAACAATATAATTTTAAAAGATGTAAGTTGTAGAGATGGCTCTTTTACTAACTTTATTTTTGCCTACTACTGTATGTAAGTTTTTATAAAAAAAGTAAATTAGATTAAATTATTGAAAGTTGTCTAAGTAGTATTAGCACTTATCAAATGCATTTTGCTTTGAAAAAAACTTGAGGCTCCAAATATTTACGTGGAACATGAGTATTTATCCATTAAAGTTGTTTATTTATAAATAAAAGAAAAAAAGGCGCAATATAAAAAACGTTCTGTTTCAGTATAGAGTACATTATAGTATAATGAGCACCTTATGCAAAAACTTGAATATTTACAAAAACAATTATGCTGGATCCAATATTATTGTATACAATAATATTGAATCCAACATAATTATTTTTGTGAATATTTAAATTTTTGCATAAGGTGCTCATTATACCATAATGTACTCTATACTAAGTATATTTGAAACAGAACGTTTTTTATATTGCGCCTTTTTTTATAGTTTAAGATAAAGAACCAAGGATAAATGGATGAACCGACGATATGTTTATAGCATTATATAAGCTGTTTTCGTGAAGTTGATTATACACAGCTTTAATTTTAATGTGATATTATATTTAAACTGTTTTGTAACTTCT